CTACAGAACACGTTGTTGCCCGTGTGCGTATTTTGCTGGTGCTGGTGCAGGCGCCGCATTACCACGTGTTTTCTCTGACGAAGGTGGACATGACGCCCAGGGCCACCATGACTTGGGAGCAGGTCAACACAGGCGCCCTGTTGGGGGAACGTCCCTGCAGGAAGAAGGCAAGAGAGGAGAAGTCTATTATTGCACAGGTACACAGGGAAGTCTCACGGGCTGGGGAAACGTTCGCCAATCTGCTATCGCAAAACACACGCCTTATGGTGTGTTTTGGGGGCCTCTGTTTTGTTGCTGGGCAATCCGTATATTTCTGAAGGAATACTGACTTAGTTAATGGAGTGACATTCAACTTGTTAAAAGTGAAGATCATTTGTAGGGAGGAGGGGGGATGTTTACTCTGTCATCACCAACAACTGAGTGAGCTAAGACGTACAGGAGCACATATTTACGATTGAAACTAAAGCCTTAAGTGTCTGGAGACTGTGTGCTATCGGATTGAGATAAAACAAAAGGACTATCCTAAGGAACTTAGGGTAGCAGCGTGCCACCGAGATACACAACACACAACGAGCCTCTAACTATGGATCAGGCGATAGACTCGCAGTCACAACACTCACTCGGGAAGCACTCAAGTCAAAGGTCATCATACTCCGACAGGGGGGGGGGGACCACTAGGTGTAGGCTGCCAACAAGCCAATCACCGGGGTGTTGTTACGTCTAACCAAGACATGCACTTATACAGGGGGTAGTTAGTTCAGCCATGATCAGCTTGTCACTACACAAGGCACAACACAAAGGCGTGCTAGTATGTCTATCGATGTAGCAGCCAATTGTTTAAATATTGTTTTAAATGGGGGAGGAAAAGGGGAGGAGGGGGGAAGGGGAAGGGCTTGACAGATAAGCCATCAACTCTCATATGCCTGATCAATTCAGAATTGCAATGACTTTGATAGTGGATCGTGATGAGTGAATCAGGGAATTGCCTACACGTGTATCGAAGCAGGGTAGACCTATTTAGTAGGCTCTAGGCTGACTCCTCACCCCCCCCCCCCCAGCCCTAGAGCCACAACCGCCATTCAAAGCCTATACAAGATAGAGGTTGTGTTGAAGCGTCGATGCCTGACACGCGCTCTTAGTATACCTACCTAGGTGTCTCTCTCCTCCATTACCCCCCCCCCCCACCCCCGCCCTCTCCTTACTTTTAGCCCAAGATGGTGCAGCAGTGACGTCATGCTACAATAGTGACGTCATCCTGGGGCTCCAGTGACGTACTGTCCAGGCTATTCGTGACGTATTACTGACGTCATTTTGAAGTGTTCATGATGTATGAGTGACGTCAGGTTCAAGGGGTGACTCTATATTAATAATGTCATTTTGCGGAAGGGAGATTACTATTTTTTTGACGTCATACGGGGGTTTTTGACGTCATACTGGGGGTTTTGACGTCATACTGGGGGTTTTGACGTCATACTGGATTTTTTGACATCATACTGGGGTTTTGACGTCATACGGGATTTTTAACGTTATACTGGGGTTTTTGACGTCATACTGGGGTTTGACGTCATACTGGGGTTTTGACGTCATACTGGGGTTTCGACGTCATACTGGGGGTTTTGACGTCATACTGGGGTTTTGACGCCATACTGGGGTTTTGACGTCATACTGGGGTTTTGAAGTCATACTGGGGGGGGGGGGGTTGACATCATACTGGGGTTTTGACGTCATACTGGGGGTTTTGACATCATACAGGGGGGGTTTGACGTCATACTGGGGTTTTTGACGTCATACTGGATTTTTTGACATCATACTGGGGTTTTTGACGTCATACTGGGGTTTGACGTCATACTGGGGTTTTTGACGTCATACTGGATTTTTTGACATCATACTGGGGTTTTGACGTCATACGGGATTTTAACGTTATACTGGGGTTTTTGACGTCATACTGGGGTTTGACGTCATACTGGGGTTTTGACGTCATACTGGGGTTTCGACGTCATACTGGGGGTTTTGACGTCATACTGGGGTTTTGACGCCATACTGGGGTTTTGACGTCATACTGGGGGTTTTGAAGTCATACTGGGGGGGGGTTGACATCATACTGGGGTTTTGACGTCATACTGGGGGTTTTGACATCATACAGGGGGGGTTTGACGTCATACTGGGGTTTTTGACGGCCTACTTGGGTTTTGACGTCATACTGGGGTTTTTGACGTCATACTGGGGTTTTGACGTCATACTGTTTTTTTGACGTCATACTGAGGTTTTGACGTCATACTAGGTTTTTTGACGTCATACTGGGGTTTTTGACGTCACACTGGTTTTTTGACGTCATATTGGAAGGTTTTGACGTCATACTGGGGGGGTTTTGACGTCATACTGGGGTTTTTGACGTCATACTGGGGGGTTTTGACGTCATACTGGGGGTTTTGACGTCACACTGGGGGTTTTCAGCAACGTTATTTTAGGGAGAAAATATCAACATTGAGAATTCCATAATACCATATAAATGACGTCATGGTATAATAAGTGTAATTATAGTAACAGACACAAGTGCTGTGACGTAACAATGCCGTCATTGAGCAAAGCCAATGGCATCATTGTGTGGAGTTTAATGACGTCATGACTGTGACGTCATAATGGCGTGATGATTCAACTATTATGGCAAATGGCAACTGAGAAGTGGCATTATTGAAAGGTTAATGAGATAATGGGGATTCTATGACGTAATAATGGCACGATGTGTATTTGATGACGTGGTGTCGAGTGCGATGACGTCACTGCAATTGGGGGGAAAACGCACTGATGACGTCACAGTACAGGGCTGATGACGTCACAGTACAGGGCTGATGACGTAGCAGTGACGTGATGTTAAGTCAATGTTTTCTGTGCCTTTGGACTAAAAAATATATATTGTTGGAGGAAATGACTGACCTCGGCGGATAATTATTATTCGCCCAGATGGCATCACAATACACCACTGGAGAAGGGGCAGACAGCTGGTGTGGGACTACACATGTGTATCCACCCTGGCTGACACCTACATGCACTTCGGTGCTGATCAAGCAGGTGGGCGGCCAACCAGATAGCAATAGCAAAATCAGTCAAATACAGAAAATTGGAAGGTCTATACACCTTTGTTCCCATAGCGTCTGAGACACTCGGCCTTTGGGGAAGAAGTGCCTTGGTATTTCTCAAAGAATTAAATTCCAGGCTCATTGACATCACCAGAGACCCAAGGGCTGCCAGTTTCTTGTTTCAGCGCCTCAGTTTGGCGATCCAGAGGGGAAACACCTGCTGCGTCCTCGGTTCCTGTCCGGAAGCGGAGGAACTCCAAGAGATACATAACCTTTAAGCACTCATTGTATTAACTACTGTACATCTTGTCACCTTTATATATCTAATAAAGCACAACAAGTAAGTAATTATCAAAAGAAAGCACCAAATCGGGAAGGCTACTAGCACCATCAAATGTGCGGGATAATCAGAGTGCGCTAAATATCACCAAGGATGCCAATACGAGAACAAAAACGCATAAGGCGACCGATATCAAAAGTATCCGAGTCACCAAGAATTCTATCAAGGGACAAGTGACCGCGGGGGACGGTCGGAAAGCAAGGCACACGCTCGTCCTGGAAGTCAGGACATTCAACAAGGATATGTACGACAGAAAGAGGGACAATGCAATTTGGACAATAAGGAGCAGGGCGGCTCTCTATTAAGTGATCGTGAGTTAAGCGAGTATGGCCAATACACAACCTCGCCAGAGCCGTTTCCCATCGCCGGTTATGGTGGTAGGAGGACGGCCACGAGGACACACAACTCCTAAGAGTACGCAGTTTGTTACACGTAATAGACGACCAACAAGCCTGCCAACGGGTAAGGATGGAGGAATGGATAACCGGGTAAAAGTCGGAATAACGAATACCTTTACGGGAGATGGGACAAGCGCGGACAGCTTCCCTGGTGGCAGCATTTGCACGTTCATTTAAAGAGACGCCAATATGGCTGGGAACCCAACAAAACTCAACCGACTTAAATTTACTGTGAACAAGAAGAACATAGAGAATAGCATAAAGTTCCGCTGTGAAGATGCTAGTCTCCGGAGGTAAGCGACACATATAAGTGTGATCAGGGAAAACAACAGTAGCCAACACCATCCGCAGACTTAGACCCATCGGTGAAGATGAAACCAGAGCGGGAGTGAGAAGAAAAGTGTTCAAGGAAAAGGCGTTTCAGAACTGTAGAAGCTTTAATGCTTTAAAGGTAAAAACTTTAGTGATAGGGGTTAAGGATGTACAAAACTGCGAAAGGGGGACTCTCCACGGGGGCAAAGAAGGAACAACACAGGGAGAAATACTAGAAATACGAACCGAAAGAGAATCCTGTAAGCGAGATAACCGGACAGAAAGGAGGAGGTGGTGAAGAGGAACAGGAGCCGCAGAAGGGGTATAAGTTGAAGCTCGACAGAGGCGAGAGGAAGGACAGAGGCAAGGAGGCCCTTGCTGCAAGGACCGCACAAGATAGCAAAGACAGTAGCGATCACAGCGGTCAAGAGATAGGAAGCCAATGTCAACATACAAGCTGAGGACGGGAGTCGAACGAAAGGCACCAGAACTGAGGCGCAACCCAGTATGGTGCAAAGCATCAAGACGGCGAAGAGTAGAAGGAGAAGCAGACGAGTAGGCAGGGCAACCATAATCGAGTTTAGACAGGACGAGAGAGGAATGTAAAGCAAGGAGAGTGCGCCTATCTGCTCCCCAAGAAGTATGGGACAATACCTGAAGGAGGGTAAGGGCCTTAGAGCACTCAACACGGAGGTAAGAGATATGGGGAGACCAAGACAAACGAGTGTCAAAGAATAACCCCAAAAGCTTCGCGGAATCTTTGTACTCAAGGGTATGACCATAAAGTGACAAAGAGGGATGAAGAACGACCAGTTTCCGAGTAAAAGTCATGGCACAAGTCTTAGTAGTAAAGAACTTGAAGCCATGATCGGTGGCCCAAGACGACACGGCATCAATCGCAAGTTGAAGCCGGCGTTGAAGGAGAGGCGAATCATTACCCTGACAGCAAAGGGCAAGATCATCGACATAGAGAGCGGAGAAGACGCCTGAAGGAAGAGAGGAAAGACCATTGAGGGCAACCAGAAAA